CATAAGGGAGATAATATTAAACAGCATCATCCTAACTTTACAGATTAGAAAACTGAGGCACAGAGAGACTGACTAGTAGTCTAAATCAGTTTAACAAGACTAATTTACTTATTCATGATAACACAGCTTGGTAGTATCAGAGCTAGGACTGCAACTCACATTTTCTGACTCCAAGTCCATTACTTTTTCCATAACATGTAACATGTTCTATTTCTCTGAACAAATGCATATTTCATGACAAGGGGAAATATATATATAGCTAGTATATATGTGTGTATATCTGTATATATAGTGTATGTATGTGTGTATGTACATGTACATACATGCATGTGTGTATATAATGTATATACATACATATATGTGTGTGTGTATATATATGTAATTAACATAGGGTCATAAATTTTGAGCTGAAAGAGACATGTTAATAGTGAGGGACATTCTACTTGTATTCACAGATAACTAAGCTCCAATATGTTTTATATTAACAACTTGTGCATATTGAAAAGATATTTAACCTCTTGCTATTTATAGATATAGGATTCAAAAGATCCATAATTGCTAATACAATAATATTCCTATAGTGAGACTATGTGCATGTCCATCTAATGACATGCAATGTGGATTTACCTACTTGCCAACAGAACAGGAATAACCCCATCTTTTCATTTTAAATCTCCCTCACCCTGTGACTGGCACAGAACAGGGGCTCCATACCATGCTCCACAGATAGAAGTGTGCGCATCAGAGGTTAGTACTTAGCAGGGGTGAGTAACCTGGCCCCCAAGCCACATGTGGCCCTCTAAGTCCTCAAGTGCAGCCCTTTGACTAAATTCAAAATTATTCAGTCAAAGATCTGCACTTGAAGACCTAGAGAGCCTTGAGGCCCCGAGTTCCCCACCGCTGATTAGGCACATTATGTGGAAAGACTGATCCATTTGGCTATTTGGACCTTGCTCCCTGCTGCATGAATGTATCACTGAAATAAAATGATAATTGACATTTATGCTAGAATAACGTTTTCACGGTCTTTACCCATACTATCTCATCTGATACTCACAACTCTGTGACCTAAATACTATACATACTGTTATTTCCATTTTACAGATCAGGAAATTGAGATGTAGGGAGATTAAATGACTGCTTAGGGCCATACAACTGGTATGTGAGTACATGTTACTTTAATACCAGTAATAAATTATCTGATCATTAACATTGATTTTTATCCAAGTCCATATGTTTGTGATTTGAGAATGGGAGAAGGGTGATTGACGTAATCTTTCTATCTTTATTTTGCCTCTGATTCTAATAGATCTGAGCAGTTTTCAATTTTTATATCTTGAAATATAGTGTTCAGTCTCTTTAACCTGCTTCCTATGTCAATTTTTTAAAAAATATCAGATATCCTAATTTTCTTCTATTTTTTCCCTATATTTTAATTTTGCTGTTTCATGTAATTATTGTTTTTTTGTCTGATCTATTCCAGTTTTTAGGTGGTCCATTTTTTGGAGTAAGCTTTACCACTTTGTCTTCTAAGCTACTTATTCTTCCTTTTCTCTGGAGCTTTATTTCGTTTTTTATCTCTTGTTTTATTTGTTCTTGGTACTCATGTAGTACTTGTGGAAAACCCATTTTTCCTTTCAATCTCTGCTTGAAGTTTTTATGGCACTAGATCTGCAATAATTTTTGACACTGGTCAGCATTTTCTTTGATTTGTTCATCTCATCAGCTTTAATTCCTGAATTGGGGCTTTGTGCGGGACTCTGCTTCCTGTTGAATTTTTGGGTGGGGTGGTAGGTCTTACTTGACATTACCCTGGGGACCTCAGATTTTTGAGCTGATCTTTCCTTCATTAAGTTTGCCCTCTCCCCTCCCCAGATCTTTGAATTTCAGAGTGTTGAATCTTTACGACCCTACATAGTGTCTCATGAGAGAATGTTAGGAACCTCAGACCCCCTGAGTCTGGACTGTCTAGGTCTGAGCACCATGACAGAGTACTAGTTAGTACTACACTGTTTGCTTCTTCCAAGGTTCCCATCCTGGGGCTTTCTGACCACCTTGTTTTCTCAGGGGAGCCCTTCACTCTACTTTTTTTTTTTTAGGCAATTGGGGTTAAGTGACTTGCCCAGGGTCACACGGCTAGTAAGTGTGTCAAGTGTTTGGTCTGAGGCCGGATTTGAACTCAGGTCCTCTTGACTTCAGGGCCAGTGCTGTATCCACTGTGCCACTTACCTGCTCCGAGCCCTTCACTCTTGGCAGAGAGTTGCGTGTGACTCTGCCAGTCTTTGGTCGTTCTAGGAGGCTAACCCTTCACTGGCAGGCCCCCTTTCATATTGCCTTCAGGTTTCTGGTTGACCTCTTCTGAATATTTTGGGGAGAAAGAAGTCACTATAGTTCTCATTGAATTACTTCATTATTTGGGCTGGTGAGAACTTTAGAGTTTTATTGGAGTAGGCATATGGAAGCTGGGCAGGCTGCCTCCTATTCAGGCAGCCATCTTGGAAGGAAGCATTGAATTGTTAATAAATAATATAGTCTTTAACCTAGATACTTATTTAAGCCTGAGATTTGAAGGGAAGAGAAAGAAAGAGAGAGAGAGAGAGAGAGAGAAGCAAACGCTTATGGAGTAAAGATTTCCATTTTGGCTTGGTTTCAGCTCTAGTTCATTTTTATTTATTTATTTGTGAGGCAATCAGGGCTAAGTGACTTGCCCAGGGTCACACAGCTAATAAGTGTCAAATGTCTGAGGTCGAATTTGAACTCAGGTCCTCCTGACTCCAGGGCTGGTGCTCTATCCATTGTGCCACCTAGCTGCCTCTCCAATCCACTTTTATACTGTATATGTGTACTCTCCATCTCCAGTCCTCAATTTTATCTGCTCACATTTCTGTCTCTGTCTCTCTGTCTCACCTCTTTGTTTCCTCTGTCTTGAACTCCAAAATTCAGGCAGAAGTCCCTTTCTCAAGGTCAATGGCACCTTTAAGCAGACTGGGTTCTCCTGAATATCTGCAAACAGTCTAGCTGATAGATTCTTTATTATCCCAAGAAGCTTCTCTGAAGTCCCTTTAATCCTAGGGAGATGATGGGGCAGCTAGGTTGCGCAGTGTATAGAGCTCCAGCCTTGGAGTCAGGAGGACCTGAGTTCAAATCCGATCTCAGACACTTGACACTTACTAGCTGTGTGACCCTGGGCAAGTCATTTAACTCCATTGCCTACCAAGGGGAAAAAAAAATCCTAGGGAGATGAGCTTGAACTTTTCTGGGTCCTGGCAACCTTGGGAGTATACCTCATTACATAGCAACAAAATTTAGTAGATTGCTATATATTTGTGGGTGCTCAAGAAATTCTCATTGATTGGTTGATTTGTAACCAGGAACATACACACTTTATTTGTACTCTTTGACATAGTGGTTGAGGGAGTAATTAAATTAGCCCATGATCAATGGACTTTTCCCCTACACTTCCCCACAATGTCTACTCACATAGAGAGGCAATGTACTATGGCAGAAAGACCATGGGGCCAGAATCCAGGAAACATGGGAATGCTCCTTGCTTTGTTGTTTACCACTCACATATCCATAAGGAACTCATTTAACCTCTCTATGCCTCAGGTTCCTCAACTTCAAAATAAGATTATTTGACCAAGACAGTTATTTCTAGCTCTGTGCTTTGCTTTGATAATCCCATGATATTGGTGTGACAGGTAGGGAGTATGTAACCATGTTACCTGGTGCTGTATAAGTTCCCTTATTGTATTTTTATAATCTGTCTTGTGTACCATATCATACCGGGGAGGGGATGTCTCTGGGGTATCAGCACAGATCCTTGACCTTCTTTCAGGCCCTCTGGCAGGCACTCTTTAGTTCCACTCCTTTATGAGTAGTGTCCCAGATTTTTATCTCAGTGAAGTATTGGAGTTGATTATCTGATTGGATCATATGCCTTTATCCTAAGTAGAAAATCTCCTTTCTCTTGACCACTCCTTTTCACTTTTTATTTGAGATTTATATATATAATATGTATATATTTATTATATATAATATATAATATTATATATACACATATAATATGTATATATTTATTATATACAATATATACATATATAATATGTATATATGTGTGTGTATATATATATATATACACACACATACTTTCTTGTGACTCTTTAATCAGACTATTATAAATAAATAAAGGCAAATGAAATAAATTCACCCAGTATGACTGTCCTCAGACAGTCCATCCCCTATCCCCTTGACAGAACAAATGTCCTATAAGATAAGCTTACCACGCCTCATTCCCAGCAGGGAGTGAATAAGTATATGTGCCCAAGACTTTTCTACTAGTGGCAAGACCTTTTAAGTAGGTAGGTCAGTACCCAGTCTGGGGAGATGACTCAGGGACTCAGAGTACTTCCACTAGTCATAGTATGGACTCCACAGGTTCTTGGCCTCAGGTTCTAGTCTTGGATCTAAGTGGCCACAGTCCTATTTCTCAATCTCCAGCACTAACAGGTTTATTTGCTTAATATGCATCCCTGCCCTACTAGTACTGGGCATGCTGCCTGTATCAAAGTCTGGGCCAGGCAGCTGAGAACACAAGGAGCCGGCTTCCTGAAGCTTGCCATCCTTTCTCTTCTTTTCCATATTCAAACTATACCTAGCTCTCTCCTGTCCTCGGCTACGAGTATCTTCAGGGCTGTGTGAACGTAGCCTGAAAGGAACCTCAGTGCTACATCAATAATAATAATCATAGTAATAATAGCTCACAATCTCATATTAATTTAAGCTTTATAAGGCAGCATATTGGTTCCCTGCTACTTTTTAAATGAGGTTCAAAATTTCCTAACATTTCATAACTGAAAGACTGACAACTTGGCATAGAAGTACCAGGTTCATAAAGTACAAGTATCAGTTCATAAAATATACGGGCCGCACGCCGGCCTTCTGCCAGTCATGCGCCAGTACCCACTTCCCTTAAAAGAAGTGCACTGCCAGAGTCTTACCCATGCCTGGGTCCTCGGTCCTCAGCCGGATCACCACACAGAGACAAGCCATGGGAAGGCACCAACACCAGAGTTTTATTCAGAGGCCAACACAGCAAACCATCATAGCAAGCCCAAGCAGCAAGGCCAGAGCAACAGAGCAGGAGCCGGGGAGCGCGCACGTGTGTTCTGACCACGCTTGTTCCTAAGTACCTACTTAGCCCCTCCTCCCCAGCCCGCTACTAGCCAATGATTGTAGGGTCAGATACCGGAAGGGGCTGTCTGAGTTTAGCACACCAAGGGGGAGGGAGTGACGTAGGAGGCTAGGATTGGATACAGGAAGGAGGCATCTGGGATTGACGCATAGACAAGAGTACGTGACCTAGGAAGTCAGACTCAGGAGGGGACTGGGTCAGTGCTGCACAAGGTCAGGAAGGTCACAAGAGGCATCTGGGGATGACGTTGCATATAGGGAGGGGACTAAGCAGAGGGAACTCAGTCCTCTGCCATCCCACTCCCACGTGGCACCGCCCCTTGCCTCAGGAGTTCAGGCTTGGCTACTTCCTTGCACCCAGCTTATGTCACAGAGCACTGCCCAATTGCCTCATGGCTTCTCCGAATCCAGCACATCCCAGTACACACGACTCTGCCTACCACAGTCCCTGCCTCGACTTCCAAAATACCCAGATCTTACCTTACCCATGCCACAGCACCCAACTGGCAGCTGCCAACATCAGACAGTCCCTCACAATAAAATATTACATAATAGGAACCACTTGGAGTGTTTTGAAACCAGTGTTTCAAAATCAGTGCTAATAATCTGGTGATGGTTCTGAAGGCTGGTCAATAAAGGGGAAAGTGATATGTATCCTGATCTTCATAGCGTGTCAGAACATGACTGACCTTTGACCTCAGACATTCTAATTGCCTTATTTTTTTTTAAATGTAACCTGGGGCCCAGGACCCTCCCAAGCCAGTCTTAGAGCTTTCTAAAAAAAAAAAAAATCAATATCTTTTTGTTTCATTATGTCATCATTCAGAATTTACTCTGAGAATCTCTGAATATAAATAATGAGGAGATTGTATGTAATTTTCAAATAATATGAGAAATTGGATCACCAACTCTTATAAAAACACTCAGGATGGCCTATGGAAATGCATTAGCATCAAAGTAGTTTAAGTAAAACTTATTTCAGGTTACTATATTTATTTATTTATATTTATTATATATTTAATATATTATTTATAATATTATAATAACATTATTATTTATAAATTATATATTTATATAATATAACTTATTTCAAGTTACTCTAAAAAATAAGAAGTAAAAAAATTAAAATGCTAAAAAAAATGGAGGAAAACACAAGCCTACTACTTATAAATTTAAATGGGAATGGAGTAAAAAAAAAAAAATCTAACAGAATGAAAGAGAATGGCATACTGGACAAGAAAACAAAACCCCTACAATCAGTTGTAGATAAGAATCACCTCAAAAAGCAAAGGCACAGAATCAAAAATGAGAGGCTGGCCCAAAATTTACAATGTATCAAGTAAATTTTTTTAAAAGGAATTGCAATTATGCTATCAAGTAGGACTAAAATAAAAATTCATAAAATCAAGGGAGATGAATTCTATTACACTTAAAAGAATTCTAGACAATGAACCAATATCGATACTAAATACATGCACCAATCTACTTTCTGTTCTCCACCCATCCCGGTTCTATCTAGACCTCATGACCATCCCCAAAACTGCCTTAAGCACAAAGCATTTTCTAAACATTCTAGTGTCCCTTGACCTTTTCCCCATTGTTCCTATTGCTTGTACCTACCGGATGAGTGAGTAGTAGCTGTGGAAATACAGAAGAAAAAGGAAGACCTGGGAAACATTTGGGTTAGAAAAAAGGGTTGCATGATTTGGAAAATGGATGTAGGCTAAAGGTCAAAGATGAATAAATTTATTTTATGAATTTTACACTTGGGGCATAAGAAAGATAAGTCAACCAGCCAAGGGCTTGTTTTGTTTTGTCTTGCCCATCTCAGGCTCCTTTTTTGGGACCAGGTCTACTAGGAAGAAGATTGATCACTAACTATCATGTACAGGGCAGGGGTATGGCCCCAAAGGCATCTGTTTCTCCCTCTGGTCCCTTTCTCAGTGAGAATGAGAAGTGCTGGAGCAGACAGGAGGGGAGTTCTGGCTGATAAAGTGGCCCTGATCACAGGTTCCACAGATGGGTGAGTGCTACTGATTGGGGGTTCAGAAGGGCATAGCTACTCTGAAATTCTCATCTCACAGCTTTATCCTTATTCCAGGTTCTTATTCCAGGTCCTCTGAAAGGGAACCTGTGGGAGCATCTCTCTGTCTCTTTCCCTCAATCTCTCATAGGATTGGTTTTGCTGTAGCACAACGTCTGGCCCGAGATGGGGCCCATGTGATTGTGAGTAGCCGAAAACAACAGAATGTGTAGATCGTGCAGTTGAAAGACTTCAGGGAGAGGGACTGAGTGCTTCAGGAACCGTGTGCCACGTGGGAAAGGAAGAAGATTGTAAGAGGCTGGTGTCCATGGTGAGAATACTTCTCGGCAAGGATGGGTATGAATATCACTGAGGACACCATCTGTATAATTTCATAATCAGGTCTAAATGGTACGATGTTCTGGCAATAGCTTCATTTGTCCACTGTCCATCTGTCCACTGAGACTTGACTTCATCTCCTCTGATTTCCATCCAGGCTTCTGAAAAATATGGGTTTATCAACTTCCTGGTTTGTGTGGCAGGTGTCAACCCTATGGCTTGGAGTACACTGGGGGCCAGTAAAGAAATGTGGGACGAGGTAAGACCACATTCAGGATGGGTTCTCTAAGAAGAGAGGCAGACATTTGCCTTATAATCTGTGGGGTAAATTGAAGCTTCAGTTGAGGTGAGGAACCCTCTGTCCTTTGGTAGCCATAATTAGAATCATGGATTTAGAACTGTGGGGTGGGAAGGATTTAGAATTGATCAAATCCAGCTTCTTCATTTTACAAATGAGGAAACAGAGCCCTAGAAAGGTCAAGTGACTGGCTCAGGGTTCATGAGTAGTCCCAAATGTATAATTAAAAGGTTGCTTTGTAAACATTTAGAAAAGGAAGCAGTGCTAAGAGGTAGAATAGTCTGATTAAGAGGATGTCATTCCATACTAATTTCATGTTTCTTCACTGAGCACATTGGGAACATTTAATAAATTCTGATGGATTGATTGATTGTTGTTGTTGATTGAGAATGTTATTATACTGGCAGTTCATAGCTCTCATTTATCTGGATTTTAGCAGGTCATTTGAGAAAATCTCCTGTATTTTCCTTGAGGATGAAGATGAATAAATGTGGGGAACAGATGGTAAAATAATCTGGACCCAAAGTGGAGTCATGAATTAGTTAATCTTACCCCAGTCTACATTTTATTGGGCCACCCCTGCTCCTAAGGCCAGCTGAGTGGTGACAGAAGGTAGAAAAGTATCCCTTTACACCACCCTTTTCATGGTTTTAGATAATGGATATTAATGTGAAAGCACCAGCCTGGCTTGTGAAGCTGGCTCTACCACACATGGTGACCCTAGCAGAAAAGGAGGAGGAGCAAGACATTTGGGCAAAACCAGATCTGAGGTGAGTGAGGCCCAGGAAAACCAGCTCTCCTTGGGACAGTCAACCCCACTTCCTGGATTTCTCTCTGTCTTTACCTTTCCGTGACTTTCCCTGGATTTAAAGAAGAAGAGGAATGATCTTCCCTCAAACTGTAATGTCACTACCTATCTCCTATAAAATGGGACTGCTGATCAGAGTCAGGGACTGCCTGGCTCTACTTGGACCTCCCTGTTTGGATTAAAAAGCCAATGTCCTACACTTGGAACAGAAGAAATTACATTAGATCAGCAAATATTTATGAACCGTCCACTATGTACAAGCACTAGGACAGGTTCCTGGAGATATAAAAACAAAAATGAAATAGTTCCTGTCCTCAGGGAGTTTTCATTCTAATGGGAGAAAACAGCATATACACAAGTAACCACAAAGTATAGACGGTAATACAGAGTAATTTCAGGGGAATGAAAGAATAATAACGGGTGGGGTAGAGACAAAATCAGGAAAGGCCTTCTGTAGGAGAAGGCAGTCTAAGCCATGCTTTGAAGGAAGCCAAAGATTCTATTTTAAACGTTCTCTGTCATTCTTTCCATGTAAACAGAGTTTTATTAATCCTTCTCAAGAATGATTACCAAACCTGGGCTCTAATGGGCTATTAAGTCATTTCATAAGGGAATGTGCCATGGTTGCCCATCACTGTAAGGAGGAACCTGCACATGAGATTTTCATTCAACTGTAATCATAACCATAGCTAGGACACAAATAATAGTACAGCTGTGCTGCTACTGACTTGGTCTATTTAAGTCAATAGCAGTAAATTACATTCTACCTTCTATCATACTTTTCATATTCATGTCATAACTGTGCCTCTAGGGTTGTAAGATCTTTGAGAAGCAAGGGCTGTATACTTTTGCATTTTAGCTGTTTTTTTTTTATTTCTTTATCTCCAGTATTTAGTATAGGTCTTAGAATATAGTAGGTGCTTAATTTCAAAATCACAGAATTTTTGAGTGGGAAGGGTCATCAGAGGTCATAGCATCCAACTCTCCTACTTGACAGATGAAGAAACTGAAGCCAAGAAACATGAAGTGACTTGCCTAAAGTCACAAGGATATCAATTAGCAGAGTTGGAATTTGAATCCAGGTCTTCTGACTACTAAATAGAAGTTCCTTCCATTGTACCTGGCTACTGATTGAACATATGCAGAAGTATGTCTACCAAAGGTGAAGTTTAGCTGAGTGTGGCCTCAGGATAGAACCTTGATTCCTCCTGTCCAGGGAAAAGCCCATCCATCCACCTTCACCCTTTTTTTCCCCAGCAAGCATCTAATCATTGGGCCAAACTCAACTCCCAATGTTTCCTCTCTCTTTGTAGGGCAAGTGCTATGGTTTTTGTTTCCTCTGTTCCTGAGATAGTAAGTGTTGTTCTAATCTTGGACTCTTGGTATGAGCGGTGGTGCATGAGGGAGGCTTGACAATTGCATCCACCTGAGCTTGGAAGGGAGGGCTCAGGCCATAGAGATATGTCCAACAAGAATATTCCTGGATATTAAAGACAGAAGCCACCTCCTCTCTTCATCTCCCACCTCCATCAAACTTTCACCTGAGGCTGATTGTATATGAGAAGAGCCAAATCAATCATCCTAAAGGAGCCAGGGGCACAAGGGAAGGAAGCTCTGTGTTTTTTCCCCACATCATTCATACATTAAATTTATTCATTCAGCCATTTATGTTTAGGGAAAAAAGGTTTAAAAATACACATGCATATTACTATATGGGCCTATAGACACAAAGTCATTGAGCAGCACCATCAGTGAATGTGTCTTCCTTATATTTCCTGTACCTCAGCAAAGCTCTGAATGGGCTTAGCTCTGTCCAGAGTTCTGAACTCAGGCCACCAGGTCTCCTCCAAATTGGGAGCCAGGAGGTCAAAAAGGTTGGATGGGAGAAAGAGGGAGGGGGAGAGGAGGCAGCAAGTTTGCAAATGGGACAATAAGAATAGACAATAAATGAGGAACAATGTATTTCCTCTTATAACAGTATCTGGCTAAGACCTTCCCCCTCTTTCTTCAATTTACAAGTACTCATTTTCTCTCCCCTACCCCATCTAATGAACAAAGCAATATCCAAAAAGAGAACCCTTATACCAAATGTGTATAGTCAAGCTATGTCCAAAAATATAGATCTCATTCTGCATTATGATTCCTCTCTCTGTTGGGAAGGTGCATAAATCCTTGGTCTTTGGTCTTCTGGAATCATGGTTTGTCATTGCATTGACTGGCATTCTAGAGCCTTTGAAAATTGTTTTTCTATTTAATGCTGTTGTTGTTGTATAAATTGCTCTCCTGGTTCTGCTCATTTCACTCTTCATTGGTTCATACAGGTCTTTCCAGTTTTCTCTGCAACTGTCCATTCTGTCATTTTTCATGTCCCAATAAATGCTGTCATATCCATATGTCATCATTTGTTTAGCCATTAGCAAACGAGGGGGGCATCCCCTAGTTTTCCACATTTTTTTTCCTATTGCAAAAAGAACTGCTAAAAATATTTTTGTACTGGTCTTTTCTTCTTTGATCTCTTTGGGGGCATAAACCCAATAGTGGTATTAGTGGGTCAAAGAGAGTACACTGCATTCTGACTTTGAGGGCATCATTCCAAACTGCTTTCCAGGATAGCTGAAGCAAGTCACATATTCAACAACAGTGCCTTAGGTTACCTGTTATCCTCGAAGTTCAAAGGCTCCATGTTTTAACATATGTTCTCAAGAGAGGCAGAATGGAGGAGTAGAGTGTGTTGAGTTTGGAGTCAGGAAGATCTTGGTTCAGATCCCACCTCTGACCCTTCTTAGCTGGGTGACCATGTCAGTTCATTTCACCCCTTTGAACCTCAGTTTCTTGTCCTGTAAAGTGACTTGTAAAATGAAAGGGCTGTACTAGATGTCTTGTCGGGGCCCTTTCAGCTGTAAATCTCTAATTGTGTAGACTCTAATCTCATAAGGGTCACCAATTCCAAGAGCCTTTCCTTGCCCTCTTTCATCCTTTGGTGCCTCTTTATGTAAGGAAGGGACTAGTAAATATCTATGACTGCTTATCATTTAGAAGGCATAGCTTGATCCTGTCCCAAAATTCTGCGCCACCATTTAAGATTTAGTGCAGGGGCAGAGCTTAGTGACTATGTCATGGTCCACCCACTTCATTTTACAGATGAGGACACAGGAGCCCCGAGTAGTAAAGTCACTTGTGCAAAGTCACACAGTATAAATAGTGGAGCCAAGATTTGAATCCAAGGTTCTTGGATTCAAATTTAATTATTTTTACATTGCACTACTCTTTCTCTCTTTCATCAGTGGCTTAGTTTATAAATGGAAATGATAGGAATTGTTATGTGTTCCCAGTCCTAGGCTTTGGGTCCCTACAATGTCAGCAAGACAGCCCTACTGGGGCTCACCAGAACCCTATCTTTGGAGCTTGCACCAAAGGGCATCCAAGTGAACTGCTTGGCACCAGGAGTAATGAAGACCATGTTCAGCCAAGTGGTAAGGATTTGGTCTTCCTCTCCTTGAAGATGCTGTCATCACCATCCCTGCTCTGTAGAGGCCTGAACAGTTAAGGGCTGGGATCCTCAGACTTGGGTTCTGTAGCTCTGAGAGCTCCAACTCAAGAAGACCTCCTTTTGCTTGTGAAGTATTGGGGTAGGGGAGCTGCTCAACCTCTACCTGGTTGTTGTCCTTTCCAAGAGGCAACATTTCAGTCCCATTTTGAGATTTATTATTGCTGTCATAACCTCTTCATGAATGTGGGGATTGTTGTGATGGTCATCCATAGACCTAGCAGGAAAAGAAACCCAGGATCCATCCTTTCCACTATCTTCCCTGAATCCTGTCTGCTGTCTATTTTGTCAGGATCAAAACAGGGATGCCTGTCCTCCAGGATGTCTGTTTATCTGCTTCACACTTTGCATATCTCACTTCTCTAGAAGAGCAGTAATGTTTTCCTCAGAAATCTCATGTAAATTCTGGACCAGAACAAATGGTGTGGGATTGGGGTCGTGGCCACCAAAGCCTCTATCTCACAGGAAAACTAAGTGGGTAGTGCTAAACTTTTGTCTTTCCTCTTTTCCCCTCAGATATGGAAGGATAAAAATTTTCTACAGAATGCCATGAGACAACGTAGACTTACAGGGTAATTGTATTGGGATCCATATTCTTTAAAAGATTATTGAGAAGGGAAGTTTTTAGGGTCTTCTTTTTTTTCCACTCTTCACTTTTTCTTCCACCAATGCTATCCTGGTCATCCTAGGGTCAGTGTAACCCTCAGAAGTTTCTGTGCATCTCTGTGTAACCCAGTCCCATGCTCAGTTCTAGGAAGTAATAGGGTCTCCACAGAGTAAGGAAAGGCTTCTAGTTTTTTTCTGTTTTTCTTCTAATTTTTTCAACAGCAAGACCAGTCAATGCAGTCAGTGGGAGATATGGCAATAAAGCATAGCCCAGTCTCCTTTCTTTCTTTGTCTCCCTGCAGGGTGGGATGTCCAGAAGAATGTGCTGGAGTTGTGTCCTTCCTGTGCTCTCCAGACTCCAGCTATATAGGAGAAACTATTGTGGTGTCAGGTTTTTCTCCATGACTCTAAGGAAGTATGGCCAATGACCTCAATCCTTAAAGCATGATCCTAAAGGATAGCAGGCTACCTCTTAGGACCCAGCAAATTTCAGGATTTCAGGTCACACAATTGGGTTTTTCTGATATGTAGCTTTTATTTGTGGGTATGAGGGATAAAGGAAGGGAAGAGGGTCCAGCTTTTGGAAACTGGGTTATCTCACTTGTCAACATGGAGTTAGCATTCACAAACATCCCAGTAGAAGAAATTCCATTTCTTGGGTGAATGACTTTAGGTTTGGGATCAGAGGAGCATGTGTTTAGAGTTGAAAGGGAATTAAGTAGTTATCTAGTCTATCCTCTCATTTAAAAAAATAAATTTCTCATTAAACAAAAATTGATTTTCTCTTCCTTTTATATTCTCCCTATACAGTAGAAAGCAAAAGAAAAACAAAACCCTTGTTAACAACTAGTCAAGCTAAACAAATTCCTGTATTAGCCATGTCCAATAGGTCCATATCTCATTGTGCATTTTGAGTCCATCATCTCTCTGTCAGGAGGTTGGGAACATGTTTCACCATTGGTCCTTAAGTCTTTCAAAGTTGTTTTTACAGTGTTACAGCCCATTCCACTAGGACAATTTTATAAATTGTTCATTCACTTCACTGCATCAGTTCACACAAATATTCCCAGGTTTCTCTGAAACCACCCGTTTCTTCATTTCTCACAGCATAATTGTAGTGAATTATTATTTGTTATATTGCATATGCCATAATTTGTTTAGCCATTCCCCAATTCATAAATGAATCTCTTAGTTTCTAATTCTTTGCCACTACAGAAAGAACTGCTCTAAATATTTTTTTTTTCCTGGCAAGGCGAACCAGTCCAAAGGAAAGTCAGCAGGATGTATGATGACTATAACAAATTAAACAGAAAGATCAACAACAATAACAACAACAACAAAAACCAATTTAAGTTAAATGCTACAAATTTATAATGAACAAGGTTGTCCCCAAAGAGGAACTATTAGAAAACTCTTTGCATTTCTTTGTAGCCGTGAGACATTTAGGGTTCAAAACACTGCATAGAATGCCAAAGTTTTTCAATATATTGGTTAATTTTGTTGAATTGTTTTGCCCTCTCTTTTATTCTTTATTATTTAGGATTTGGTGAGGGAGGAGGGATGAAGTGGGAGGATACATTGGGAAATAGAAGTTGTCTATTTCATGTCATTGTCAACTTCATGTCAAAAGATCAATCAATAAACATTTGTCAAGCTCTTATTATGTGCCAAACACTGGACATACACTTAAAGCCATGGCCTGGCTTGTCAGGATATTTGGAGCTTGTAGGTTGTTTATGCAATGCAAGTCCAAAATAAATGCAAAATAACTATTCTGCAGTCTCTCAAAGTTGTTTTCACTTTCCAGGGTGAATGATAATGAGTACAATGAGAAATTAAGTGTTTTATATTTTCTGAATTTGTTTTTTGCATTTTATGTAGTTTCTATGGTAGAATAAATAAATAGCTATCCTATATCAAATGATATGATTATAAAGAGGTTAGCATAGTGCAAGCACTACACAAATGTTAGCTATTATCATTACTTGGAGTCAGAAAGATCCAAGTTCAAATCCTGCCTCAGACAGTAGGTGTGTGATTCTGGATAAGTCACTTCTCTATCCCCAGCCTCAGTTCCCTCATTTGTAAGATGGAGATAGTAATAGCACCTACTTCACACCACTAATTCAATGTGAAGCTTAAATGAGATAGCCTATGTAAAGTACTTTACAAACCTTAAAGTTCTATGTCAATGTTATCAGTAGTAATAGTATCATTATGTTCTATCAATTGGCCATATCATCTGGATTTCCCATTATCCATTAACAGTGAAAATGATAAAGACAGAACTACCCTCTTACTTCCATAACCCTCCTATATGTTAACTTACCTGTCACAGTGGCCAATATACCATGATCTCACCAAAAAGGGCCCAGCCCTTGGCTGGTTGACTTATCTTTCTTATGCCTCAAGTGAAACTCATAAAATAAATTTATTCATCTTTGACCTTTAGCCTACACCCATTTTCCAAATCATGGAAACCTTTTTTCAAACCCAAATGTTTCCCAGGTCTTCCCCTTTCTTTTGTATTTCCACAGCTACTACTCACTCTTTTGGTAGGTACAAGCAATAGGAACAATGGGAAAGAGGTGGAGGGACACCAGAGTATTTAGAAAACGCTTTGTGTTTAAGGCAGTCTTTGGAATGGTCATGAGGTCTAGATAGAACTGGGATAGGTGGAGAATAGAAGGTGGATTGTTTCAAGCACAATCAAAGGCCTGGAGTGTGATTTGAACATGGTTCACTTATAGAATTGTGAGGAGCCTATGCTGGCTAGAGTGGAAAGTGGGAGGAAAAATTGGATGAGTAAGGAAGATTTTGAAAGATAGGCTGAGAATTTTGAATGTTATCTTGTAGGGAATGAAGAGCCATGACAGGCATTTTAAAAGCAAAGTTTTTTTTACATTGTTATAGACTAATAATTCTTATGAAAGCCAGGGTCTGAGTCAGGCTAATAAATGACTTCCTCATAATAGATTTTCAAACAGTACTATATTTAATGATGTTTCCAATCAATGTTCCCTGTTTACAGAAAGTTCAACTAAGAGGCACAGTAATAAAAATAGACTATGTTAATATAGCTCTTTGCAATTCACAAAGTGATTTGATTTCAGATTCATTTATTTTCTCATTTGATCCTCAAAACAACCCTGAGGCCTCTTTGCGCTGTAATATTAAACTATCTCTGCAGCCTTCTCATTCTGGAATATCCTTCTATCAAGCCAGCTCCCTTCTCCTAGTGGTGAGCTCCTCCAGAGGCCTCCATTCTGTGGAGGGGCCTTGGCTAGCTAACTTTGGTTCCCCAACCAGCTAGGCTTCTGATTTTCCAGGCTTTAAAACCATGCCCCAATGGGTAAATACCCTCTATTCACCCCAATTTTAATTTCCTTTTTGTGTACTGACTTTCCCCATTAGAATGTAAGTTCCTTGAGGGCAAGGACTGTCTTTCTTTGTCCTTGTATTTGTATCCCCATTATTTAACATAGTCCCTGGCACATAGTAAGTGCTTAATAAATGCTTGTTGTCTTGCCTTGCCTGTGATAAAGGCAGTGTGCTATTATTATCCCCATTTTACCGTTAGAGAAACTGAGGCCCAGAAAGGTTCAAATGAATTATGTAACATCATAGAGATAGTTAGCAGCAGAGCCAGGACTTGTACATGAACATTCATAAAAGTCTTGAAATCCAAGATTCTGTTGAGTACCTCAGTCTTTATTTCTGGAATTTTTTATCTTTTTTTTGTTTCATACAATCCTTTGGCTATCTGGTAAAGTCTATGGATCCCTTCCCAAAATTATGTTTTGGGCCCAAGCCAAGACCTTTGCCACTTGCCCCAAAAATAATTTGGCTCCCATTTGTCTAGGCCCCAGAAAACTCTTAAACTTTTTTTGACCTTATTCTGGTCTCAAACAGTTACCTGAGGCTATATTCCTCATAGGAATATTCCATATCCCTATGGCTTTTCCTTATCTCTCCTTATCTCCCTTTGAAAACCCTAGTCCCACCTTTTGATCTTATTAAGTCACTTCAAACTTCTTCCTTCCAGTTCCTCTCACTATCTATTCTTATTCAACCTCCAGGACATTCCCAACCCAGCTTCATTATCTATTCCCATTGTCTATTCAATCTCACATACATTCCAATAGGAATTCTCCCAAAGTCACCCAGACCCTTTCCCCAGTCCCTCCTCTGGTCACTCAAAATTACTTCAGGGTATATAAGATCCACTCTGGCCCCCATTTAAACACTGAGACTTTCTCATGCTCGCTGGTCCTTGTCACCTGGCCTACATGGTTTATCTCTAATAAACTTTTTCTCTGGCTGAAAGAAGATTTGGGTTGGGTTTTTCAGACAGGGCCCACTTGTTGTGATCTCAGGGTCCCAGTACCCCTAAACCTCTAGACCTCATCATATATATATATTTAAGCTCATGGACTTCATGCTTAGAAGCCTTATTTTATTCTGTTGTCTCTATGCTTCATACTTCTAGAGCCAGTTGTTATTTGTTTTTTGGTTTTTTTTATTTAAAGGAAAGAGGCTAATTAGCTGCTTAATTACACACAGTCCCCCCCAGCACAATGTGATGTATATTCAGATCCTTAACACCAGCCATACTCTCCCACCATAGGAGATTGATTCTTTAGTTCCCATCCAATAAATGAACACAGGACTATTTGTTCCCAAGAAAAAAATGCCTATTTTTCTCTTCTATTGTTCAGTGTTCTTTGGAATCTGCTGATTACCTGGGCAGGAAAGCCTCAGTGAGTTTTCTGTGTTAGAAACATAGACTCCAGGGCATTTAGCAAGCATTTACAAGTTTGTGGGCCCAAGATTAGAATGTTGTTATCGGCATTTTAAAAATCTTAGTTCTGTGATTGGCAAAAACTCAGAGGTTTCACTGATTTGCTGCATTGTATAGTCATGTATAGTCATCTGGATAGACTGAATAGTCTTAACCACTTGACTGTCTTTATTCTAATGAGGCAGGTATGCCCTAGAATTGGTATTATATATGATGTTATATGGCTTAGAGGCAATGTTATCTGCTCCTATGGATTCAATTTATTTAATAATTAGGACTTCTTAAGGAAGCAATGACCTGGAGCTGCACCAGGAAGCAGGAAGCAGTGAATATTGGAAAGTCTTTCCTCCAGCCAGTAGGATTTCCTGTTAATACCTTTGAGCACAAGGAAAGAGATTGGACATCAACAGTGAAGACTAATGCCATCATCTATTGTAAAGGAAATAGAAAGTCTGTGTGGGACATGTGGGAACCTTAAAGGAATAGACTTACCTTGGAGATGGATCTTGGCTGCTGTTTTGTATTATTATTTTTTATTTTTTTATTTTATTTTTTAATTTTGAAGAGAGGAGCCTCAGCGCTGACTTGAGACCTTGATATCTCC